CCAGCACGCAGAGTGGACTCAAGACTTGGTGAACTCAGTATGGGTCAGGCCCTAAACCACATCAGCGGTTTCCAATGCAGGCTCAGGAAGGATATTTTTACATAGCCTGGGGTAGTAACAGCATCCACCTCTGCTGGCTCCTGTGACCTACCAGCCTGGCTTTCCTGTGGCTGTGCTCCAGTGGTTTCTTATTTCCCACCAGGTAGTTGAGCGTGGCGTACTCCATGAGAGCGGCGAAGACGAAGATGAAGCACACAGAGACGAAGAGGTCCATGGCTGTGATGTAGGAAACACGGGGGAGGTGCTTGCGGGAGATGGTGCTCAGGGTGGTCATGGTGAGCACAGTCGTGATACCTGAGAGAGAAGACAGCTGGCCTAAGTACTGACAAGGAGTACATCTGTCTTCTCCAACCCCTCAGAACACCCCCATTTTCCCTCTACTCTGGTTGTCTCGTCCCATTTTGGCTATGCTCAGCCAGACTCTGGTCTTGAGGAACCCTCTGACAATGCTCTATGAAAAATAATGATGTTCAAAACTCAGGTATCACACGGACCATCGATGTGGACTGGCAAATGAGCAGGAAACTCAGACTCTACATGAGGCTGGGCTGGTCAGGCAGGGCTTGCCCTCACCTCCTGTCCTTCATGTGCCTCAGCACAGCTTCTAGAAGGATCTGTTCCATGATCTTTCCAGGCACAGAGGGGAGGCTGATAGGTCTGTAGTTCCTGAGGTCCTCCTATCTACCCTTCGAAAAAATGGGTGCAATATTTCCTCTTTTCTGGTTACTACCATGACTTTTCAAGGCTTGGAAACCACATCAGCCGTACACTGGGATGTACCTTGTCAGGTCCCATACACTTATGGATGTTCAGGTTCTTCAGGTGGTCTCAAAGCTGATCTTCTCTTGCAGTGAGAGGAACTCTGCTGCTCCAGTCCCTGTCTTGCAGTCCACCCACTGCGGAATGTGGGGAATGAGGCTGCCAGTGAAGACCGAGGCAAAAAAGTACCTCAACCTCCTTCTCATCAATTTTTACCAGTTTTCCAGTTGTATTCAACTTGCTTTGACCTTCCGTTTTGGGCTGACAAACCTGAAGAAGCCTGTGTTAGTATGTTCTGCATCCCTAATCCCATTCCTACACAACTGGGATTGTCCCTGTACTCCTTCCTGGATACCTGGCCCTGCTTCCACTGCCTGTGCATTTCCTTCTGACCAGAAGCTCTTGACACATCCATGCTGGTCTCTTGCCTTCCTTTCCTGATTTTTTACACCGGGGAATTGAGAGCTCTTGTGCTCTTTGGAAAATGTCCTGAAAAATCTACCAGTGCTGTTCTGCTCCCTGGTCATCAGCCTGCCCTGTAGTAGATACCAACCAAAGGTTCCCTTTATTTCCTTGGTCTGATTCCATAAATTTCAAATCTGCTCCTGGCTATTCTTCAGAGACAGCTCTTCACAATCTATCCGTTCCTTGATGCAGAGGGCAAGTGCGTAGGAGGTGATAAAGAATTTCTTTTGACATGAGTGGGGCTTGCAATTGTTTTTGCAGGAGCAGCAGTGCTCACGTTTCTGCTTCCAGAGATGAAGTGTCAGGAGCCAACAAAGGATCAGCTACAGGAGCTGGTCCTGTGATCTCATCCACTGATTTTCAGGATGATTTCAGGATGATTTTCAGGGGAAGAAGCAGGAAGTCCACCTGTTTCTCCTTCTCTAGCATCCACCTAAATCCACCTGGCACCCTTTCCTGAGGTCACCTCAGTGGCTCTGGGGGTGAGCATGGCAAAAGGTTTTCATGTTTTCCTGCCGTACTTGCATTAGCAGATGTGATGTGACTTCCCATGTTTTTGGAGTGCCAGTGGAACTGGTCCAGTTGTCCAGTTTACATCTCCCTAAAGTAGGCTGGCAGGCTCGAAATGTGCTGGGGATCATTTGTATTAAGTACAACAGGGGCTGTGGAGAGAATACATTATTCTTCATGGCTGTAGTCCCTTTCCACAGAGAGGGGCCCCTCTCCTGGGGAAACTTTCCTTTGTTTTTTGAGGCAGTCACTAGAGCCGTGCACATTTTCCTCTTGCTGTTCATTCCTTTACCAGCCACAGACTACGGCACACCCTCACCTTCATTGGAAATGACACCCTCCTCCTCCTCCTCCTCCTCCTCCTCCTCCTCCCTCCATGAGCACCAAACTAATTAATTTTGAGAGGGAGGTGGGGAGACATGGCCATCATGGATGGGCTCTGAATAGCTGATGGCCCCTCCTCTCCTCTCCATCCCCACAGAGACCTGCAGGCAGGGTTGGGAATGCTACCTCCAATTAAAGACAAAGTCAGCGGGGCTGATAGGAAGGACAGCACTGGGAATCACAGCTTGTTGCAAAATGCAGACACAGCCAAAAAGTACTAAAGACTGCAAAGATGTCCCCAGCACCCATCAGAGCAGCATTCAATCAACAGAAATGTCTCTCCTGCTTCAAGGAGCCACTGCAGTTTGCTGAGAAAATCTAAACAATAGGCAGAGCTGTTGTCATTCTCTGGGTCCTATGGGGTGACGGACAGAAAAAGGTTGTACCTACAGGGCTTCCAGCTCCTGCCAGAGCCTGGGGTCCTGTGGATGCAGCCAAGCAACTTTGCCCATTAACCCTACAACCTTCCTGTCAGCAATCTTACACAGAAGCCTTGAGAAATTGTGAGGAAACATGGAAAATGTGCATGTGACAGGAGCCCTTTGGGCAGCACTGCAATGCCACAGCTCAGCCCCTTTCTCTCCCTTTTGGTGCATGAGAATATCCCATTGTCAGCTTGGAAAAGTGTTGCAATGTATTTGCAAGGGTTAGGCCATAGTGTGCACCAGCCAGCCTACTTCTAAGTTTGCTATCAAAACCTCAAGAATTTGTCAAGACTATTTAGAACAAAAATTGTGCTAGATTAAGAAAGAAGAGGCTGAGAAACCAAATACCAAGACCACAAGAACTGGATAACAGAAGCCTGTAAGACACCTAGGCTGTAACCAATCATATACTCCAAGAAATACAAACAGAAAACGAATGAACAAGACAAAAGCACCAATCAAAAAGTGTGTACTTAGTAGTTTATAAAATCTATAAATATATGTATAATGTAAACAATAAATGGCTTCTACTTAATAATATTAATCAATTATTCAAAAGTCCTAGATTTCCCACAGAAAAGGCTGTGCTAGGGTTTCAGATGAAGCCATGAGAATGAGGTGCTCTCCTGAGGCAATCCAGCAGCTCATGCCAGCACAGCTGGAGATTTGGTTGAGCTGTGGAGTGTTACACACATGTAGCTGAAGGAGTGGAATATTCTCTGGTAAGCTCAAAAATGCCAGAAAATGGGAAAGTGCTTCAGGAGATTTTGTAGTCCAACACTGCCAGTTTTCTTGCCTGGCAGAGTTTGACAAGCATCAGACATGCATCATGCTGTCTCTTACCCAGCGATGTCCTGGCTGGCGTAGAGTCTCTCTTGATCCAGAAGGAAACCCAGGAAAGAACAACAGTCAGGATGCAGGGAATGTAGGTCTGAATGGCAAAGTAACCCATACGTCTGCTTAGGTCAAAAGAAACTGTCATCACCATGTACTCCCCTAGGAAAAAGCAACAGACATTGGCATCACAACATGAGGCTTCCTAAAAAAAAAGAAAAATCAGCAGAGTTTCAGAATTTGGAGTTTCTGATGAGGCTTTAAGTGCCTGTCCATCTGGTTTTGTAGCTGCCCAGATTGTTAACTTCACGTGGCTGGCTGACTAGGTTTGGCGACTCTGGTTTTCTTACTAGTGGATTCTGTGGCTACATGGTTGCCTCTGTAGCTGTCCTGCTTGATGTCTTTCTGACTAATTTAAGAGCTGACTTTGTGGTTGCCCAACTGGCTGTTTGCCTGGCTCTCCATATGGCCACCAGGCTGCATTTGTACTGGCCTGGCTAAGGACACTGAAAAGCATACAGTTTGGAAAAGTTTCAGGGAAGGAACTGCAGACAGCATTTATCTTCAGCTGATTGCTGTGAGGGTTCTTTTCTAGAGAAGCTCTTTGGCTGTAACAGGCTGCATGGCCTGGCTTGCTAACGAACTACCTGAGCTGTGACAAAGGAGGTGTCCTTCAATCACTTCCACTGAGAGTCTGGTTCTGCCTCTGGAAAAGGCATGTGGTGCTGTACATCCTAATTGCTCATTTGGCAACTTACAGTGGCGGCTCTTCCTTTTTTCAGAGGCTCACAGTAAGTATTGGAAAAAAGCCACCTGACAGCTCTGGGGTTAACATGGAACTTGCAAGCAATTACCAAAAAAAGAGAATTACAAACATCAGAGGGCCACTGGTGCATTCAAGACACTTTCAATTCTTGTCCCAGTTTGTGCTGCCTTTCTACCATGGCTGCCACTGTTGAGAGCAGCAGCTTCCTGAAGAGTGGGAGAAGCACTGCTCCTGGCTGTTTCAGAGGGCTGAAAACTATGAGCTCACCCCACCTTCAGGAATCCAGAGGCTTTCCTCAGTTGTCAGTGGGAAGGAAAGGGGATGTGAGCTATTATGAGGAGGAGGAGGAGGAGCTGAAGGGCCTCCATTATTTAGTTTCTTCACACATGCAGCCTTGTCCCTGTCTCTTAAAGCACAGTTCAGGTGTTCATCAGCCTAACATGAGTTTACAGAAGGAAAGATTGAGACCTGCAAGTTCTGATTTCTCCACCCCCGTTCCAATCATAAGCATCACCCAGAGATTACACAGTGTGCACACACTGAACAAGAGGGCATTTAAGTTCTCTCTTGTCTCCTTCCTGACCCTTCAGTTAGGGATAGCTTCATTCACATCAGCATTGTCACCCCACAGTTCACAGATGTCAATAGTTCTGGTCTCTCCTTGCTCCACCTTCCCCTCACCCTTCATCTCTATCACTTCTGCAGCCTCTAGCCAAGATCCATCCCTTCATTTTTTAGCTTTTTTCTCAGGCCATGCTGTTGTGACCTTCCTTCCCCACTGCTTTGCCTCTCACCAGGTCTCCAGCACAGTGGTGCTCCTGCGGGCTGCCTCCCCTTGCCTCACCTGCCCCAGTCCTGAGGACTTCCGAAGTGTTCCTCAGCCCTGTGAAGTCGAACTGGTAGAGCCTCCAGGTGCGCTGGTCAGAGACCTCGATGGAGTAGCGTCTCCAGCGATAGACGATCTCCTCCCGAGGGTATCCATCTGGAAAAATCCATCCATGCAACAGTGTTGTGGTGTGATGCCATGGTTTGCCTCAGTTACCCTGGCTTTCTCCCTGAAGTTTCCCTCCCAAGTGTGTCAATCACCTCTCCTTCCCCCACCCAGACCCCTGCTGGGCACTGTCTGTCAATCCTGGAATTCCAGAAGGGCGTTGAGTGATTGGGCAGATTCAAAAGGTGCCCTCCACCCCTGGGGGGCATTGGGCCATCCAGGTGTCCTTTGTCCCTTGAGACCTCCTCTCCCGTACCTGGTTTGTGGTCCACCATCCCTTCCCTGCTCCCCTTCCCTGGGTAAAAGGACGGGCAACCACGCGGTCTGGGAGTTCTGTTGGAGCTGTTGCTGGATTCAGAGGCCTGTGGGCCAGAATAAAAGCTCTGGATTGAAACCCTCCATCAGAACTGACTCCTTCCTTCACCATCGCCTTAAAGCTTCTCCGGCCCAGGGAACCTGAAGAGCAGAGCCTCCACAGGAGGAAGCTCCATCCTGCCTCCACCGGAGCTCCGGCATGCCTGGACTTGCCTCAACGTGCCCAGTGCAACTCACAGCTAGCCAAAGGTGTCTCTGGGGTGAAACACCACAGCTGCTGCTATTTGGTTCAGCAGCACGGCCAGACAAGCCAAGGCATGTCCCATTCTGCAGTATTGGTAAATACAATACAACAGAATGCCATGTAGCCCCACCTCGGGCACCACCCTGACTGCAAAAGCACAGACATCTCACCAGAGCTGTTCTGCAAACACCAGCCCTTCAGCAGGTGTTTCTGGTGCCTTTTATTTAGATTCCCTGAGGCATTCCCACATGGAATGGGTGTAGGGACTGCATCTCCCCTCGTGGGCTGCTTCAGATCCTGGGGATGGGAAAGGCACTGCCAGAAACAAGGTACTGCCAGAAACAAAGCACTGCCAGAAACAGAGCCCGTCTAAGGACTGCACTGCTGGGAATGAGATATGGGTTGGTCCAAGAGGACTCTGTTGGTTTGAGGAAGAACTTGTTTGAGGGTGGCAAATGGAACAGTGTGCACAGGGGGTTTGTGGAGTCTCCCTCCCATGATTCCGGAGTCATAACTCTGGATTCAAAACCCCACCTGGCTGCATTCCTGTGTAACCTGCTCTAGGTGAAGCTGCCTGCCAGTGGGACTGTCCTAGAAGATCTCCAAAGGCCTCTTCCAGCCCTGACTCTCCTGTGATTCTGTGACTCCACCAGCCTGAAATCTTTAAGGATTTTAGCTCCCTGGGGCAGCTGGCACCTCATGAGGGCCATCCCAGCCATGAGTACACCGGGAATACAAAGCTGCCAGCATGGCTTTGGCTGCTCTGTGTGCTCCTCTCTTGCCCTGGGAGCTGATCTATGGAAAAGAAGGGGTGCACTCTCCATGGAGAAGAAAACCTGGTCCTGCAGGCTGCAGCACAGCTTCTCCTGCCTCTGGCTTTCTTGATAAAGAAACAAGCCTGCTGTTGAAGCTGGGAGCTGGGAGAAAGTCCCTTGGAGGAGGATGGAGTAAGAGCTTGGCAGCTAACTAACAGTGTGTTTCTAATTATCAAGCATGTACAGCATGCATCACTAATTAGCAAAGATGAGGGGTGGTGGGAGATGAAGGGATGAGATCTCCTCAGCATGCTGCCTCCTTCTGAAGCACCTCAGAGCTCTGAGCTGCATCTCTTCAGTGGCAGGGGAAGCAGGAGAACCCGAGCTCAGATGATTAAATCAGATTTCCCACCCACGCACGAGGACAGGGATCTCTTGGTGCAGAAAGGCTTGCTGCAAAATTACCAGAGGAGATGTGATAACATTAGAAGCCCTCCCTGCTGAAGAGTCTGGATGAGGAGTGACTGAGAGGTCTGAGTAACCCTCCTTTGGAGCAGAACGTTTCCAGACCTCACTCAGAGAGTGGTAGAAAGGGGAAAATGCAAGGCAGGATGGGTGCCATTTGTCCACCAAAATATATCTATGTTCTGTCTGGAGTGACCAGAAGGTCAGTGAAATAATCTCCTCCAACCATCCACCCAAATTAAGGAGAAACTCAGAGATGTTGTGAATCTGTCCCTGATGACCTCTGCCAGCCCAGGAGTGGGAGGATGCTTCAGACCATGAAAGGTAATGGGTCAGGAAGAAGGCCATAGAAATTAGGTGAAAAAATGTAGCTAAAAGGGAGGGTGGTTTCCCCAGAAAAGTATTACTCCACTGAGGTTTCTCTGCTCACTTCAAAAGCTATATTTGAAATATGTATACTCACAACTGGAAAAAACCAAAGGGCAGGAGTGAGTGTCCATTGGGAAATTCTGCAGCTGGAGCAGACATTCTGCCTCGATTGTCAGCCTGAGACAGGGGGAGAGAGAAAGAAAGAGATTTTGAGCTGGTGAAGATGGTTTGATTCCAACAACTAAGTGTGACAGAGGCATTCTCACTTCCTTGAGAACTAATTTGCTGAAGATCAGTCTGTTTGCAGGAACATTCCAAACCAAAAATATATGTTTGGATATTTTCAAGGTGAGGAAAAACATGTAAGTTTCACCTTCAAAAAGCCCTTCTGTTTAGTCAACTTTTCAGATCCATTTATGAAAGTGAGAAGTTATGGGAACAAACAGTCAAATGTTTATTAACGGCATAAAACAGCTGGACTGACCAAGACAACATTTAAAGGATTTTAGTTTAGGGAACCACTTGACCATCTCTTTGTTCCCGCCCCCCCAGCAGAGGCTGCTGGATGAACCTGAGAGTGTAGAGCACTTTTCCATCATTCCAGATGCGGAGGAGCTGGTTGGGAGTGGTTATCCAGTGGGAATCAGCCCGTTTGGAGTTCCTGAAGAAGGTGTCGGGGATCCAGATGCGGCTCACCATGTTGGTGTTCAGCGTCAGCGCCTTCAGGGTGCTGTTGAACCGCAGGCGCCGGTCGTACCACGTCTGGGCAAAGAAGATGTCAATGGTGTATTCCTGGGAAGGACAAAGAATGGGATGTTCTGAGAGGGATTCAGGCTATGCAGAGCCTGCTTCTCTGGTTTGCAGGCAGGCACAGCCAGAACATTTATTTTCTCAGTCTGGGAGCAGGTGTTGATGGCCTCTGACACCTTTCCAGGCTCACCAGTAGCTCACGGCCAGGACATCCGTGGCACAATCAGGAAGAGCCAAAGACTCTGTGTTTGCTGCTGGGCTGAGCCTGGCCCTTGCCTGGAAAACCAGGACCCATACAAACAAGACCTTGGGCTTCCTCTTGACAGACAACTCAATACTCCTTTTAAGCACAGGCATGAAGGGGCAGTGTGGATGTTGGCTGAATCCAGCCTTAAGTTCAGCTCCACCTTTCAATCACAGGAAGGGAAAGCTGCTCCCCAGCTGAACAGAGAAGGCAAGCAGGCAGCTCTTTCTGTTATTTATTGGGGCACAACCCAGACCTGTTCCACACACCTAATTTGTACAGAGGGCAATAGTAGTGCTGTGCATAAATCTAGTGACAATCCACCTCTTGCTACAGCACTTACACTGCAAAGGGTTCATATGAAAACTCAGAGCACTCTGGGTCCTTGGGTGGATACCCCTTGCTGGAGATTAGAAAAGAAAGCTGGGTCTGCATGGTCCCAGCTCTGGGTTAAAAAATCCTGAGACTTTCACTGACAGAAAAGAGATTTTCCACTATAATAAGGACCTCCAGTTTTGGTAAGAGAGTGTGTCCTAGCTCATGGATAACTGGCAGCTCTGAGAGGCAGCTCCTGCCTGGATTGGACTGGCAGTAGCCCACACCATTAGCCCACCACTCTGCTGCTCACTGCTGCAACTCAAGTTTGCTCCTTAAACTCTTTTTCAGCCTGCCTGAGAAGGTGCTAATTAATGCCATGCAGGAACAAGTCTGGCACTCAGCAGCTGTCTGAACCAGACCCCAGATCCAGTTCCACCAGCGCATGCTGCAGTCAGTCACCTGCTCCTGGTAGCTCCTGACGTGACTTTTGGTCCCTTTCTCTCCTGTTGAACCTGCACAACCCCCATTGCCTCCCTCTCTTTTGTGTGCAGAGCTGAAGAAAGTCTGACTTTGCCATCCCTCCCTCTCACTCTCCTCCTCCCGCTATTGATTTATCTCGGTGGAATTTTTATGACTGCAGCACATCCTCCCCGCGCTGCCCTCGCTGCTGGTTGAGAGCCGGCTCCTCCAGCCCTGCTGCTAAAATAGCTGCAGCACTCCCTCGGACAGCGTGTCCTGCGGGGGGCAGGCAGGGCAGGGCCCCACTCCATCCTCCTGCCCTGGCAGCCAACAGACACGAGTGATGGGTCCCCAGCACGTCCCTTGCACAGGAATGAGATGGTGAGGAAAGAGCTTTTGCCATCAGGCAGCCGAGTCACTCTCCAGGCTGATATTCCACCCTGGTTAGACCTGGTGATGCTCACCCTGGGGATCAGCAAAGGTGGCAGGGTCCTAAGGGATGTCCAAGTGGGGAGAATGGGGACAGGTGAAGCACGTCCAGAGGGGTGACTTTGTTTCCACAGTTCATTCAAAGCAGACATGAGCAGACATAGAGTTAAGGACAGCAGCAGCCCTCATGGCCAAGTGCACGGGCATGGCCACTGCCCAGACCCAGGGGGCTGGGAGAGCCCATCCCAGCACCTGAATGTGCTGGATCACACCGCGTACTGCTCGGATACAGGGTATGTGGTGATGGAGACGTAAAAATGTGAAATAAAAGTAGCACTGTCACAGCACTGGGGCCAAAATAGCACAATATTTGACATATTCTCCCCCATCACTGCACACCCTGTTTGAGTTCATGTGAGTTTACATAGCTCCTCCTAAGTAATATCTCTGGTGTAGGAGAAAGCCTACAACTGAACCAAAACTGCAGTGATAAATTCCTTTTAGATGTCACTATCAGTGTTTCACTCCCAACTGGAGGCACTGGTGACATCTCACTTCTGGGCTGG